ATGTGCCGGGCGGTGGTGGCGCACGCCTTTAATCCCAGCACTTGGGAGGCAGAGGCAGGCAGATCTCTGTGAGTTCGAGGCCAGCCTGGGCTACCGAGTGAGTTCCAGGAAAGGCGCAAAGCTACATAGAGAAACCCTGTCTCGAAAAACCAAAAAAATAAAAAAATAAAAATAAAAAACAAAGGAAACATGATAATTCACTTGATTCACAAGAGTCTAATTGCTACAAACTTATTTCTTGCCATGCTTTCCATGGTAACTGTACAGGTAAAAGGGATGGAGCATAGTTATTGCTCTTTTATCCCTAACCCCCCCAATTAACTTAGCAGTGAGTTGGGGAGATATGAATAATTCTGAATTAATTCTGTAATAATGTAATTAATTGTTAATTAATCTTTTTGGTCCTCATTGATATGGATTCACAACATGCTCCCACAGTTGGGCATGGTTGCCCATGCCCGGCGGGACCTAGTCAAAACGTCTCACGTGACCAGGACCCTGTGGCTTTGCATGGTTGTGTAAAGGACGCAGCACAACCATGTGGGTGGAATAGCCACATGGGACTGTGTGTGCAGGTGCGGCCCAGCCTTTATAGGCTGGTGCCATGATTCCTGGTCCCATCTTTACTCATGTGTCCTTTCCACGGGCCTGTGCACCTCTGCCTCTTTACCTTATCTTAATAAAACTCTTGTTAGTGGATTCTGTTGTGTTTCGTGACATTTCCTTGCAGGATAAGAGCGCCGCAAATAACCAACACTCATGACAACTGAGGTCCTGTTCAACCAATGAAGGAGGGTAAAATGATTGACAATTACAATGTTCGAGTACAGGGAAATCCTATTTGCATGGGAAATGGAATTCAGGGCCTAACTATAACCTCTCAAATATGGCTATCCATAGTCAATATTATCCAAGATTATCGTAATAAGTCTTATATGCTTCATGAATCTGGTTTTAAAGGACAGGAGAATAATGCTACTAGTTCCATAAATCTACCATTCTGGAAAATGAGGGTTACCAACAAGGAATATGACTGGGTCCATTGGCCACAATGTAAGAGTAAGAAACTTCAAGTGCTAATTAATCTCCCAAGGAGCCTTCATTGACTGGAGACCTTATGGCTTCCCTCAAGAAAAAGATTCTCACCCGAGTTAAGATGGAAATGGTATAATACAATCAGAACTATGGAAATCAGTGCTTCTGTTAATGAACTTATTTGGTGGTGTGGAGTTAGAATGGCAAGTCTTCCTGCAATTTTGGTGATTCAATTCAGACTAACTTATAGAACTTGTCAAGTGCCTTCCACCCTCTTAAGGCATGGGAAGGAAAATTAAACATTAACAATGATAAGTACACTCTGTCTTTTAGACTAAATAAAAGCCATCCTTCTATGGCATGTGTACCATTACCTTACTTGCTTCTGAAAGAGTCTGTACAACGGCACCCAAATAATTACAACATCACTTTTGAACACTGTACCCTTCATACCTGTTTTAATTCTTGTATGTTTTTATATTTGACCTTTGAGAGTTTATATATTCTTAGAGCAAGGCCAGCAATCTGGATACCAGTGAAATTGTCAAGGCCATGGCAAGATTACCCTGTGATGATCCTGGTACAAAAGCTCACTGAATGAATATTAAAAATAACACATCCAGTGGTTGAACTGGTTGTTGCAGTTATTATGGGAATCATTGCAACAGCAACAGCTGAAGTAGCACTTCATAAAGAAATCCAAACTGCTGAATCCATCAGACACTGGCATAAACATTCAGAAGAATTTTGGACTGAACAAAATAAGACTGATAATGAGATAGTAAATGAATTAACTGAGTTAAGGCAAGGTGTTGTATTCTTAGGGGATCAGTTAAAAATTTTGAAGGAGCAGATAAAATTAAAATGTGTTTGGGATGTTTTCTTGTTATTGTATCAGACCCTTATGATTTAATGAAAGCAAGTATGATTGGGATAAGGTTAAGATGCATTTGATGGGTCACCCTAATTCTCAAATGGTTTATGGTTTACAGAACGAAATTAAAGAGACTTTTGCAAAAAAGTTACCTGATATGACAAAAATGGATATTATAGGAAGTTTTGCAGATACCATTGTAAGGATTCTGTCCTTAATTACATCACCAGCCTGTGATGCCATCCCAGCCTAAAAAGTGAGTGGGCCCTCTGTGCATCCCTTTCTCCTCTTCTCTTTCCTCTCCTTCTCCCTCTCCCTCTCTCTCCCAATAAAGCTCTAAAAAGGTAACCATGGCTCTTGACTCTTCCTGTCACGGATACATCTAGCACTCTCCTCCAGCACTCTCCTCCATTAGCATGGTAGCCACGGGCACCAGCCACCCGCCAGTGTTGCTGCGCAACCAACATTGGTGCCGTTCAGACTCGGATACATCACCAAGACCTGCTGTGACTGCTACCACTTGCTGCCTCCTCCACCATCCAGCAAGACTGCCGAGACCGTGAGCATGCACACATCCCTCGCTGGTGGACCCCCTATACAGCTACAACTACTGATACCGCCATGATTTTTTTTTTATTTTTTTATTTTTTTTTTGCTTGCAATAGAGATTTTTTATTTTTTGCTACTGGGTGTGCCAAGATAGCTGAATGCTAGGTTTCAAGGATTCTTTTGTGTCTGTTTCCCATCTCTCCCTAGGAGGGCCGGGATTATAGATATGCACTATTATACTCAGTTCCTGTGCTGGTTCTGGGCGTTCAAATTCAGGTCCTTGTGCTTACACAGCAAATGCTTTCCCACTGGGCCATCTCCCTGATCCCTTCAGCCTTTTAAAAGAATTCATCTCTTTTATAGCTGCCATGATTCTTTAACACAGTGAGTCTGCCGTTCTCACGGCTGTAGTCTGAGCTATATTCTTTGTGATGGACACCCCAGGGGTTGTTCTTGGGCTGTGCTGGCAATGGCAGGCACATTTTCGCTCCTGGCAAGGGGGTAAATGCTGTCTAGGGTCCAACGGTGGACCAAATGCAGCACAGCTGCAGCCCTTACCATCCCTTGATGAAGAGGATCTGTGACTTGAGCTGATTCTTAGATCTCTCTCCACTCTCAGGGATGCCCAAGATTGAGTCTGATCCTGGCTTTTTATTTTATTTTTTTATTTTTCTCTCGACTACAGCCATGGCACAAAGGGGCAGATACATTTGTTGCTGGAGGGCTTCTCTCCAGGTTCCCCAAGCCCCGCAGTCCCACAATCCATTTATAAAATAATCACTCAGACGCTTATATCACTTATAAACACTATGGCCGAGGCAGGCTTCTTGCTAACTGTTCTTTTATCTTAAATTAACCCATTTTTATAAAACTATACCTTGCCACGTGGCTGGTGGTTTACCAGAGTCTTTACATGCTGCTTGTCCTGGTGGTGGCTGCAGTGTCTCCCTCTTCAGCCCTCTGCTTCCCAGAATTTTCCTCTCTCCTTGTCCCACCTACTTCCTGCCTGGCAACCTACTTCCTGCCTGGTCACTGGCCATCAGTGTTTTATTTATATAGAGCAATATCCACAGCATACATTTACCACCTACATTGGAGGATAGGGGCAGGTACCGATAACTCTGGCTGAATAACAGCTTTGTGGGAATTTCTGGCAGCAAATGGGCAAAAGCCATAGAACAAAGGGGCAGGTACTGGTAAATCTAGCCACATAACAGCTTCGTGGTACCAGTAAATCTGGCCACATAACAGAGTTGCAAGAACTTCTACCAGTGAACGGACAAATAAAAAAGTTGCTTTATCTCCAAGCTTTCTGCTAAAGCTCTAAACCCTTCTTCCTCCCCACTTCTGCGTCTGCCACGTGCAACCTTTCCTGTCTGACTTCCGCCGGCAGTGGGAGGGCTCAAATGGGCAGGCTTGGGCAGTTTCTATGACTCTCTCACCCTAATTTACCTTAACTCTACCCACCCATTCTCAAACTGCCTTGAAAAGCACAGACGGGTCTGGAAGCGGCTAAGATCCATACAAATAAGTTTACAGTATTTAGGATGGCTCCTAAGCCAAAAATCAGCTTATAGCTTCAGACAAGTCTTCCAAAAGGATCAGTTTATAGTCTGCCTCCTGGCAGATCTTCTAAAATCTGTCCTTAAGCCACCAATCATCAGGGGAAAAAAAATCAGGACATGGAGTAAAATCCATCTCTTGTTCCCCACACCTCCCCAACTAAAACTTAAGCATCTGGAGAACAAGGCTTCTGACCCCACAGACAAAAGAGTCATCTGTGGCATTTAGGGTGTGCCAGGGAAGAGATAAATGCCCGAAAACAAAATTGCCAAGTGCTGGCACTTGCTGACTCCCAAAAGCTGTTGGGTCCCTGTTTTAAGTGAGGAAAAGGCCACAGGCTAGCAAATGCCCTTCCAGGCCATCGACAACCTTGTTAAAAGTGCCACCTAGAAAGACACTGACTGCCCCCATGCACCAAGATGCATGGGTACATCAACCTAAGTATTGGGATCTATGGGGGTCCAGCTCCTCAATAGTCCCCTCCTAGGGTCCAGGAAGAATCTACAACCAGATGATAATTAATCTTTGTTGAGAAGATGTTGAGAAGAAATGAATCAATGTACACAAAACTCCTTAGTCCATACACTTTATTATTCTGTGATAGTTCTCTCTCTACAGCTTCTATTCTGCTCTCATGTCTAGCTCCTTTCTTACCTGATTTCTATATATTTATCTACTGTCCCCTCTAGGTTCTATCTTAATTCCTTCATCTAGTTCTGTCCCTTCTAGGTTCTCATCTATCTAGTTCTTTCCCCTATCAGCTCCTCTCCTGTCTCCTTCTCTCTCATCTGGCTCTTCCTCACCTTGTTCTTCTCCATCTGGCTCTTCCTCATCTTCCATCTCATTCCTCTAGTCCTCTCTTTCCAGAGAAAGCCTTTCCTGAGGCTGTTCTCCAAATACCTGGAATGTGTATGTCCAGAGAGTGATCAGTCCACACTGTTAGCCCTTCTTAGGGAAAAGTCAATTCAGAAATCTATGAAGGCACACATGATTTTCAAAACAGAAGACTGCTGATATATAACAAGCCAAGTAACACCAAAAACTCCTTGGGATTTGGCTTCCTCTGGAGGAATTCCCTGATCCCTCCAGGTAATGACTTTGCCATAACCATCTGAGTTCTTACGATATATTCCTGCAGCCTGTAGCAGCTAAGACCTCCAGCAGACCTAGGCTTGGCTACAGACATGGCAGGGAACCCAGAATGCAGCAGGGAAGTGATCCATTTCTTTCCTTCTGGACACCAGAGCCACTGAATTAGTCCTGGGAGTTTTGGGATGTCACCTCTCCTTTATTGTCAGGTACAGAGGACAGCCTTACCACCTCACCAGATTTAATTACACCTTTAGAGTTACTGCCTGTGTTTCTCACATGCATACAGACAGGGCCCTGATCTTTCCCTTGTCCCTAACTCCAAAAAGAAATAATAATAATAATAAATTCTCATGCACCACAAGCTTTTCTCTTCCCAGTTCCCTGTTCTAACTCACTGTTCAGCCAATGATACAGGACCACCACAGAAGCAGAGTCCAGAGATCATCAAGTAAAAAAACGTAACAGCTAAAATGTATTTACACCCCCAGACCAAAAAACATCTGGGTGCTACAAAAAAAAAAGACTTTAATGTAAACATCTATTACTGTGAGATACTTTTAGCAATTGATCACCTGTCTCCTGGATGCCAAACTAGTAAAGGAAACAGGTGTTTTAAAGTAATATGTCTGTGATAAAGTTTAACATGTTTCAAAATCCATCTGGACAGGCCTGATCTACCAACATAAAATAATAATGATTCTTTTCTCTCTAAGCTTTTTCCTGTGTCACCAGCATCTTGTCAAACAGAAAGTTCCCAGCCACAGCCAAGAGGGATACATGTCTCCAGAGCAAACGGATGGCAGACAGCATCCCACAACGCCTGTCTACCTCGGAAGACTCCGCTTCCCCATTCCTCCAAGAGCCAACCGATGTCCAAACATCAGCTGGAAGCAGTTTTTGAGAGGAACGACACCCCTATTCCCATCTGTCTGCTTTTCTTATAAAAAGCGAAAGTCTGGGGTGTAAGGATTCTGTCCTTAATTATGTCACCAGCCTGCGACAGCATCCCAGCCTAAAAAGCGAGAGGGCCCCCTGTGCATTCCTTTCCCCTCTTCTCTTTCCACTCTCTCCTTCTGTCTGTCCTCTCTCTCTCTCTCTCTCTCTCTCTCTCTCTCTCTCTCTCTCTCTCCCCTCTCCCAATAAAGCTCTAAAAAGGTAGCCATGACTTGTGATTCTTCCAATCAGCACTCTCCTCCCCCCACGGCGGCCAGCCACAAGCTGTGCCGTTTAACCAACACCATAGCCTCATACACTCCTATGAATCACTTTAATACGTTTCTTATCCTAGCAGGTCTTGCTCTTGTTCTAGTGTGGGGGTGCCCAAAAGAGACTGACCACACAACTACTATGACAGGCTTAGAGGCCCAGACACAGCTTCTGTACCAGGCTTACTGGCAGGTAACACCCATATCCAGAAAAGCCATGAGATGACCCCACCCTGGGAGGGGCTGCATCGGAGAGAAATAACTGATATTCCAAACATTCCTCATACCTCTAGACAAATGTCAGCCAATCAGCATCCTAAACCCTGGAAATCCCCTGATCCTAACCTCTGCTATGATAAAAACCCTACCCTGCCTGGGCTCGGGCTCTCTGATCTCACCACTGCATCAGACAGAAAGTCCAACCTCGCTGAACTTGAAGATAAAGACTCTTTGCTTTTACATATGGGATTCAGTCTCTGTGGTGGTCTTTTGGGGGTCCTGGTGATGTGGGCATTAACACTAGCCATAGTAATTATATTGGCTTTAAAATGTGTTTTGGTCTACATATGTGAGATTGTAAGACCAATAGATAAAAGAAAGGCTGTATTTATGATGAGGCTATGTAACGTTCAAGATAATTAATTTTTGTATAGAGGAAAGAGATCTATAGCAACATTCCCACTGTGACATGCCAGGCCCTGCTTTTGAGAGTAGCACCTGGTCCTAATTCATCTTCTGTTTTGCAGATAACCTTTGTATCTCTTGTTGCCCTATGTGAATCTTGTCTCAGAGTCTCCCAAGGATACAAAGCCTATGCAAAACTTGGTTCAGGAAACAGGGAAAGCTGTGGTACCTGATGAATTGAAAAATTTGCACTTGGTATTGTAATTTTGGAAGCTTCTTTCGGGTTGCTTTGAACATATGTAAATCAACTGGCTAAAGTGTAAGTATAGAGAAAAGTAAAAATGTCTTGGGCAAAGGGAAAGGGCTTCAGTCCTTAGAGACTGGATCCCCCTGCAGCCAGCAAAAGGCTAGATTCATTCTTAAGGTGCCTCTGTGTCTTCATTCAATGGACATTTGTGAATCCACACACCTGAGCCTTGAACCAAGGCTGGATTCAAAATCATCTTTAAAGATACTTTTCATTTCCATGTTAGTGTATTATGCACGTTTTACTTACTTGTCTGAACTGCCAGCTTGCAAATAAAGACAGGGAGAGTTCCTTTTATTTTATTTTATTAACATTCTTTTCATTTATTTTGCATACTAACCACAGTTTACTGTTGTGGATATCGCTCTGTATAAATAAACACTGATTGGCCAGTAGCCAGACAGGAAGTATAGGCGGGACTAACAGAGAGGAGAATTGAGGAAACAGGAAGGCAGAGGGGGAGAGTGCCTAGAGCCGCCACCAGGACAAGCAAGCCACGAGCCATGTGGCAAAGTATAGATTATTAGAAATGGGCTAAATATAAGAGTAAGGGCTAGACAATGGTAGGCCTGAGCTAATGGCCAAACAGTTTAAATAATGTAAGCATCTGTGTGTTTATTTTATAAGTGGGCGTTGGGATTGGTGGGACTTGGGTGGACCCAGAGAGAAAAGCTCTCCAACTACAGTTACCCTCCCCTATCCTCCCATCTCCCCCCACACACTCCCCTCTTTCCCCCTCCCCAGACTCCTCCTCTGTCTCCATTCAGAAAGAAGCAGGCTTCCTATGTGCTTGAACAAAGCATGACACATCAAGTTGAGGTAGGACCGAGCTCCTCCCCCTGCAGAAAGGCTGGGCAAGGTAATCCAGCATGAGGAACAGGTTCAGGGAGATTTCTTAGTGATTATGTACACTTGCCCTTTAGCTTAGGCTTTTCCCCAACTAGCTCTTATGACTTAATTTAACCTGCCTTCATTAATCTACGATCTGCCCCATACCTTTTCTTTAAATGTCTCCACCATTCTGTATGCCTGACTTGGTCCTCCACTAGCTGGTGTCTCCCTGCAGCTGGATTCATCTCTTCTGCTCCATCCCATGAATCCTGCCTGTCCTCTCCTGCCTAGCTATTGGCCACTCAGCTCTATTAAACCAATCAGAAGGTGCCTTGGCAAAGACAGATCTTCACAGGGTACAGAAAGATTATCCCCGCATAGTATCGCTTTATCATTTTACAGTACAACTGAGTCAACGTGATTCTTATGGCTATGGTAAGATTAAAATCAGAACATATGGACCAGAAATGATCTGTAAGCCCAATATTTCTGTGTGTTGTGGATCTGGAAGTGAACACCAGCCTGACTTCCCATGGCTGTTTGAAACCAAAACAGAAGCCACATTGTTGTTAAGAGACCACATTTTTATACACTGTTATTAAGTATCCATATCTTACAAGAATGAGTTTCTGTTTCCTAAGCCTAATGTACCCTTTGAAACATGTATGGTGATATTTTATCTGTGTCCCCAATAAAGTTTATCTGAGGATTAGAGGAAAAAGCCAGGCACTATATTAAGTAGAAGTCAGGCAATGGTAGCATAAGCCTTTAATCCTATCACTTCGGAGGCAGCTGTCTGGATCTTTGTGAGTTTAAGCCCACTCTGGGAACAGAGCCAGTCATGGTGAAACACGCCTTAAATTCCAACACTACTTAACCATGAAGGTCTGGAGGTCTATACAGACAGACAGGAAGTGACAGAACTAGGCAGGAAGAGGAAATGATGTAGCTGGGCATAGAGGAAATGAGATGGCAGAACAGAAAGGCATGTAGGTGTGGGTATACAGGAAGTAGCTCTCTTTGGAAGCTGAAGGTCTGTAAGGTGAGATTGGCTTTGGCTTGTCCTAAACCTCTAATCTTTCGGAATTTACCCCAATATCTGGCACCAGGTTTTATTAATAAGATCATTTAGCAATTTGTCTTACAACATGTTTCAACTATTCTGAACTTGTGGTCCCATGATGTTTGCCCATCGTTTGCCTTACAAAAATAACCTGTGAAATGATTTTACACTTTTGCCTTATGAACATGTTTTTCTAGATACCTTGATGTTTCCCCTCCCACGTGATTTCTTTTTGAACTTCAGCTGTTTTTATTTTATCCTTTCTAACGGCCAACTTATCTCGACATCTGTTTTCTGTTAACCATAACCCCCACCAAGGGAACTGAAAAGGCTATGGGAGGGGGGGGCGGTGCTGCCCTCTGAAATACCGACTTTGGGGGAGAAAGCCATCGGCCAGTTCCTGGTGCTCCTGTAAAACGAAGCTTGCTTTAATCAGACATTCGTGCAATTGGTTTTTCTCAGGTCAAACAGCTGTCCACCGGGTTGTGTTTCTTCCTCCCAAACTCTTCTGCAGGTAGCCAAACTAATCCAGAAAGACTAAACGTCATCTAACTAGGAGAACAGGAATTCCTTTGCTCAGCCTTCTGGGAAATGTAGTCCGTGCGACTGTGACATCACAGGGAGCCGACCAAGAAATCCCCTTCCGGCGTCTAGCACTCGCAGGTACAGCTTCTTCGAAGTTTGGCGAGAGTCCTGCGCTACACAACGAGTCTCAGACATGGAGGTTGGTCCAGGGTGCAGCGCGGCCTGACGCACTGTGCGGGGTGCGGGGGTCCGACTTGGAGGGAGCGGACCTGGGCTGGGTGGGAGGGCGGAAGAAGCTGCCTTGGGGGTGCTGTGCTGAACTGGCTGGGTCACCTGAGGTTGCAGGTCAGGGCTGGGGAGAGGGTGATAGGAACGGAGCCCTGAGTGACAGTTTCCTTAGGACGCCGCTTGCCACCCGAGTCTGCCTCGGGCTTCTGGGACAGGAGAGCTGCCTGGTAGCGCGGAGTAGATGTTAGTGCAAAGTCCAGGATTGCAAACTAATGATGGTCATGACTGCCTGCTCCTGAGGTGGAGCTGGGAGCTCACGGAGCAGCTTTGGCGGGGAAGCATGCTTCTCTAGCTGCGCCGTTCTCACATGGACGCGGTCAGATTTCTCAGAATCTGTAGAGCAAACGGGGTCTGGTCCTTCCTGAACTCTGTAGCCGGCCTAGTGTAACGGTCCTGAGGTCTTGATCGTGTTCATCTTATCTGCCAAAGAATTAAGGAAGAGCCGGGCGGTGGTGGCGCACGCCTTTAATCCCAGCACTTGGGAGGCAGAGCCGGGCGGATCTCTGTGAGTTCGAGGCCAGCCTGGGCTACAGAGTGAGTTCCAGGAAAGGAGCAAAGCTACACAGAGAAACCTTGTCTCGAAAAAAAAAAAAAAAAAAAAAAAAGGAAGGAAAAAAATCTGAGTCTCAAACTCACCAATGGGAAATTCTGGAACACAGCAGACAGATCTACCAGAATCAGCTGCTATAGAAAAGCTTTGACTAGGGTGAGAGAACACACATTCTGCAGACATATGGAGGGAAAGACCCAGTGCAAAGCAGATTGGGGATTAGGGAAGCTCAACCCAGGTTCACCGTAATGGCTGGGTTTCCTTAAATCTTTGAAAGGTCCTCCATCCTTAATTTAGGTCTGAGTATTTGTAAGAAAGTGCTGATGTCTGCTTGTCCCAAAATGGTTGTGTCAACATGTTTTCATTGAAATTATTGAGTTGTCTAATAGTAGGGTACCTAGACACAGGTAAGAAACTCTCATGACCTTGGGTTCCAGTGCCAGGTTTTTGTGTCAGGTCAGCAGGGTGAGGAAGAACTCTCAGACCTGTGTGTATTCATGTGACTTAAAGTAAACAGACCTGTGATAGAAAAGAAACTTCAATCTACTCTATTGCACATCCCTGTTATCTCTTGTGGTGATATTGTGTTTCCCAAAATATTGTGCACCCTAATAAACAGAACAGCCATTAGATATACACAGAGGCCAGAAAATGTTAGCACTCATGCCTTTAATCTTAGAATTTCAGAGGATCTCTGTAAGTTCAAGGCCACACTGGAAACAGCCAGGCATGGTGATGCACACGCCTTTAATCCCAGGAAGCGATGGCAGAAAGCAGAAAGGCGTGAGGACCAGGAACTAGAGCTGGTTCAGCTTTTCAGCTTTTAGCAGCAGTTCAGCTGAGATCCATTTGGATGAGGACTCAGAGATTTCCAGTCTGAGGAAACAGGATCAGCTGAGGAATTTGCAAGGTGAGGTAGCTGTGGCTTGTTCTCTCTCTCTGATCTTCCAGCGTTCACCCCAATACCTGGCTTCAGGTTTGATTTTATTAATAAGACCTGTTAAGATTTGTGTTACAGTCTGCATTTGTGTGTGTGTGTGGTGGGGGCGCAGGACCTCTGGTCCTCATCTGCTTCATATCAAATTCAAGGATGCCTAGGATACCTGAGTCTGTGACAGAAAACACTTGACCATACTTTATAGACATGATAAATACTTTCTATTGTTAATTTCAAGTTTTTTACTTGTGGTTAACTTCTGTTGCCCATTCCATGTGTAATGTAAACTTTTTTCACTATCATGCTTTTGTTGTAGGTATTACATTTTTGTGATTACATACTTGTTTTCGTTTATTCTGTGAGGAAAAAATTCCTCTTTGCCTGTCTTGAATATTCATCACTATATGCAGTGATTGTTCATTCTTTTTGGATATTAATCTGTGTTATTTACTTAACCACCTGATGAGGCTTTCTCTTGGTTTCACTGATTTCTTCCAGGTTGCTCCTTTCATATCTAATCTGAGACTCCATTATTTCTTCATTTCCATTCTACAGTTCTTGACTGATGTGGCTGCTGTGGTTACATTCCTGGGTCTTTTTTTCTGCAGCTGCAGCAGGGATGCCTTCCCCTGTCCTTACTCCAGAGGTTCTACTGTGTGCAGATGCTTCTTACAGTGAGCCAGAACAAAACCACTTCCTCCCTGTCTTTCACATGGGCACTGCCATGTCCAACCAGTAAAGCAAAGTGCTCATGTTGGTTCCTGCTCTTCACAGATCCAGTTCAGGTCCCCTTGTTGAGCAATCCTGTCTCTTTCCTCCCAGGCTTCTTTCATTGTATTCTAATGTCACCTAATGTCAATGTGAGGGAAGGAGTTCCTTGTGTTTACAACTCATGCATGAACCTTGCCATGTAAGACATCTGGGAAACTCTGGAGGGGAGGTGTGCTGGGTGGTGACATTCATTTCGTGTTGATTGATCTATATGACTATGTCAGAGGCCATGGAGAGACATTGCAAGGTTTGAGCAGGGGTCAAAGACATGCAAAGGACTAAACCTGAGCTGCCCAGATTTTCATCACATTGTCGTTTACCGGTTATTAAAGTGCCTGTCATAGTGTCCTCCATAATCATTATCAAATGCAGCAACATATGTTGAATTGACAGGTGTGTGTGGTTGCAGGGCCAAGTCTTTCAAAATCTGCATCCCATTGTTCTTTTTGCAGCATCTATATGAATTTAATTGGATTTATGAGGATGCATGTCCCAAATCGTTATTGGATATACTACACATATTGTTGCTTGAAGAAGACTCAGAAACAATATATTGACAATTAAAATCCACAAATATAGCTGGACATCAAATATACAGCGCAAAACGTGATACATTATGAAACTAAAGTTGTATAATTCATGTTACCAAAGCCAATACTATATTTTGTCTGTTATATTTTTTTCATGGTTTAACCAACTTTCTGTGTCATAAAATTGCATAACTTGGTGGCTTGAAGCCAAAATTAGTCATTTCATGGCACAGTTGTGTGGGAAAAAGATCTAGGAGTTGCTTCTTTATGATGTGTGTGCTGTGTATTTAAAGCACTGTGTTATGTATTCTGTAGATTGGTGATTTTGAGTGGAGAGTCATTTTTTTTTTTTTTAGTTCCTGATCAGTAATCCAGTCTTCTCTTTGCATATCATTTTTACTTCCCACCAATGATCTGCTAGTCTTCAGTTTTATCTGACTCTCTGAAAAGATATTTCTAAGGGACACCGACAGAAGCTTCAGGAGTTCTTATTACATCTACCCTGTCCATTTTATTGTCCTAGGCTCACTTCTAGAAGCAGCCACCATTCAAGTGGAGTTCTATATCTACCTCCTAATTATAGGAAGAATGTGTAACAATTTTTAATGAATGACAATGTGCCCCTCAGACCAGACATAATTTGCATTTTTTCTCCATTTAAAGTGAACTTTGCCAGTACCAAAGGCCCCTGAAAAGTTTACTGTTAATTTTATTGGGTAAAATCTTTACTAAATGATATCCTGTTCACAGGCACACTGCCCTCCACTCACAGTTTCTCACAGGAGACTGGCCCAGGACAGCAGACACTTCCCCATGTAGAATGGTGCTATGCTGTGCTGGGCAATGTGGGGAGTGATCCTTAGAGCTGACTCTGCTTTGGGGGCTGCTCAAGTTCTCTCAGGGGTTCAAGATTCCATCTTCATCTTCTCTGGGCTCTGGCCCTTCTCCATGGTGGCCATTTCCCCTCTTCTTGGTGACCCCTCTAGTTCTGCCATCTCTCCTTTCCTAATGCTGGGACCTTTAGTGCAGCGCCTCATACTGTGGTGACCCCAACCTAAACTTATTTCCCCTGCTGCTTCATAACTGCAAGTTTGCAAAGGTTATTTACTGTAATGTAAATACTTTTGGCAATGATGGTTTGCCAAAGAGGTCATGACCCACATTTTGAGAACCAGTGCTCTATTTAAAAGACAGTGGGATCTGTTTTTCTTTCTTTCTCTCTCTCTCTCTCTCTTTTTTTTTTTTTTTTCTCTCTCTCTCTCTCTCTCTCTCTCCCCCTTTCTTGAGACTAGGTTTCTCTGTGTAGTTTTGGTGTCTGTCCTGGAACTTGCTCTGTAGTCTAGGCTGTCCTTGAACTCACAGAGATCTGCCTGGCTCTGCCTCCCAGTGCTTGGATTAAAGGCGTGTGCCACCACCGCCCGGTGGGATCTGTTTTTCCTTTGCTTACTTCTAAAGATAGTAATATTCTATACTAGCTACAAAGAAGCTTTCAGAATAATTCAATTTCTTTTCCCTTGAGAATGTGCTGGGTGTTCTTTTCACCAAATTGCCTCATTCTGCCTGTTTCTCGAATATCTTCAGGCCTCCTCAGTGCTGCTCAACTCTGCATTTATTTTAAAAAAAAATTCTATTATCATTCTTTATGGAGGATATTTTTTAGTTTTCCCAAAAGTGTTGTGATGATAAGCTACTCTCTCCTCCCAATGGTGAAAACACCATGCCCTGGAGACACAAGAGTCAGGGGATTGAAGCTGGATCTGACCTGAAGGTCTCCTGCCTAAGGGTGAGTTTGCTCAGTGGTGGAAGGTGCTTTGGACAGTCCAAGGGAGAGAAGTAGTAACTAATCCTATGTAGCTGTTACGCCTGTGAACCACAACAATGACCAGTGTGGCATGATATCTCTAAAGGTGCCACAGTGCCTCTCACATCTTGGCCTTAGCAGCAGCTGTCAAAGGGACTTAGAGGGGACAGGAGACCTACAGAATGCTTGGAGCTGCCTCTGATGACTTGTTAGGTCTTAAATCATAGAGGAGAACATACTAAGGCCACTAAACCGTCATCATCCATAACTGCACTCCAAGTACTTCTCTTAGACCTACACTGGAGTGTCCCTGTCACTGCTCCTCAAAGGCGCTTCTTCCTGAAGCACAGAGAACATTCCAGAAAACTAAAACTTACAAAGTGCACAGGACTATTGTCTGAGGTGCTGTGACCCAGAAGATACCCTGCACCACAGTTCCTGCACATGAGGCTCAGGGAATATCTCTGCAGAGGGGGCATATTGACTATGAGAGCCAGGGGTCCAGGAAGTCTGCTGTGAGGTTGTGCATTCTAGAAAGGGAAGGGAAGCTGCACCCATGATACCCCAACAACATGGCTGCCTGAACAAGGACTGATCAATGACAGTGGCACAAGATCTCCTGCAGGGGGCAGTCTGCTGGGTAAGCATCCAGGTGTAGGCATCTTAGAACTGCAAAGAGGGAGAATTAGTCTTGCCAGGACAAGAGTGCTCACTGTTTATCCAGTAACAAGTAGGCAGTTCTCAAACATATACAAAAATCGGCCATTGGTATTTATGAAGTTATGTATATCATTACATATATGTATACTTATGTGCTCTGTGTGTGTGTGTGTGTGTGTGTGTGTACCAATAATAATTACAGAAGTGTACACTATGTGTTTGAGATGAACTATATGAGGACATGAGAGAAGTTGCAGTGAAGATATAGAAGGGGAAATGAGATATTTTTATTCAATAATTTTTCAGAGGGAATTTACACTCTTGCCAGTTGTGACAATGTTAGTGAAACTGTAAGTTATTTTAGGCAGTAAAGGTAAATAACATATGATCTCATCAATATGTTAAATGTAATGAATTGAAACTCGTGTAAGATAAAGATATTAAAATAAAGAATTATAACAGAGGTTGGAGATATAACGGTATTTTCCCTTGACTAGTGACCTCAGGAAGCCATCACTTTGGGAATTCCTTGTTGTGGAAAATTAACGATGTAAAGATGTGTTGCATTTGCTTGTGAAATATTTAACTATGTAAAAATGTGTTGCATTTGTTTATGTTGTGGAATATTGGTTTAACTATGTAAAGATGTGTTGCATTTGTTTACCTTGCCTGCCTACAGCACCTGATTCATCTAATTAAAAGCTAAATGTCCAATAGCTAGGCAGGAGGTATAGGTGTAGCATGAATCTTAAAAGTTCTTTTTAATAAAAACAAACTTGGAGCTAGGTATTGGGGTGAACACTGGAAGATCAGAGAAACATAACAAGCCACAACTACCTTTCCTTGCCAATTCCTCAGCTGATCCTGTTTCCTCAGACTGGAAGCCTCTGAGTCCTCATCCAAATGGATTTGAGCTGAACTGCTTCTCAAAAGCCTGAAAGCTTAACTAGCTCTAGTTCCTGGTCCTCACGCCTTAAATACTTTTCTTTTTCTGCCATCACTTCCTGGGATTAAGGGCGTGAGTAACCATGCCTGGCTGTTTCCAATGTGGCTTTAAACTCACAGAGATCCGGATGGATCTCTGCCTCCCAAGTGATAGGATTAAAGGTGTGTATGCCACCATTTTCTGGCCTCTATGTCTATCTAGTGGCTGTTTTGTCTTCTGACCTCAGATAAGTTTTTTTAGGATGGACAATATATTGGGGGACACAATATCACCACATATAGGTGGGACTTTCAGGCAAAGAAAGTAAGAGGAGGAATGTGGGAGACAGAGACAGAGGCAGATGTCAAGGGCCAGCCGGCCAGACATGAGGAAGCAGGAAAGCAGGACATACAGAATGAAAGAAAAGTAAAAGCAACAAGGTGAAACAGATGAATAGAAACAGGGAAAATGAAGTTATAAGAGCGAGTGGGACAAGCATAAGCTAAAGGCCAAGCTTCCATAATTAATAAGAAGTCTTCATGTCATTAAAAGAAAAATGCCAACTACACTTCCTGAAGAATGAATGTTCAGGGATAGTGTGATAGGAGGGAGAAGCCCCCAGTACTGTTGTCCTGAATGCCCCATGTGTGTAAGCATCATGCAGGGTACTATCAGAAGCCTGAAAGATTGTGTTTGAGGAGGTGACCATGATAACTAGGAAGAAGATCCAAAGCTTAACCATGAAGTTATTGATGGTTATGATAAACGGCACTGGTGGCTCTGGTGGCAGCACTGGTGACCGGCGGAAAAGTCACGGGGCCACGACTACCAGAGTTATAAAGAGCTTTACTAGAAAGAAAAAGGGGATAGGAGGGGGGAGAGCCAGGCCTGGAGAGAAAGGAAGATGGCGGGAGCAGAGAGAGCGTGCACAGAGGGAGAACAGAGAGAGAGAGTATGGGGGTCCGCACTCGGCTTTTTAAGGTGGGGATTGCATGACCATGGGGCGGGTACATAGTCGCCAATGCCTGCTGATGATATAAGATGTAAGACAAAGGACCCCGAGCTGCGCATGTACAGAATCCTAACAGTTATTACAAAATACCTTATTATTACATAAAATACTGATATTTCCTGTATTGATAAAAAGGAAAAATAATGTGTGACTATTCCCATAGGTCATTCGGGGTCTTTACTCAATAAAATATGAAAAACATAAATTATAAAATTAGAAACATTTGAAATACAAAAATCACATCAGCAATTATATTGTTCAGCCTCAGCACACTGTTTCATATCTGCACAACATACTTAGGAATAATGTAAACACCTCAGTTAATATCTGTCAGAGAAAAGATAGAAAGGGAAAATGGTAAAAAATCAAATGATGTGTATTCTAAGTTCTCACTTTTGTTAGTCCTGTACTTGCCTGTTTCCTCACATGATCAGATACGTAAATGACATTCCGTCTGTGAGTTCTGCCCCTGCCTGCTCCTTCTCACATCCCTTGTCATCATCATTTGCATCATTAGTGAATCTGTAGAAATCCTGAAACCCAAATGACAGCCCAAGTGGCTGCATCAGACTCTGTATGTTTATTTCATTTCACATTCATGACTGTATCTTATATAATATTTGAATGACCAGCCTTAATATTATACATCCCAGGGGCTCAGGCGAGAAACTACGAATGGCGAGGACTATTTTTGTAAAATAGAACCTCAGCACACTGAGCTCTTTAGTCCATTCATTTTAATCTCTTCTGGCATAACATCCTATTTACCAGCTTCAGTTCTGTTCTCGTGCCTACCTCCTTTCTTGCCTGATTTCTCTCTGTATTTATCTATTGCTCCCTCTAACTTCATCTTAATTCTCTCTTCTTAATTCTCTCTTATCTAGATCCTTTTCATCTGATACTTACCCTGCTAGTACTTCCCCATATGACTCTTCCTCATCTTCCATCTCATCCACTCATTTCTCTCTGGTCAAAATCCTCCTTATCCCTCTCCATTCTCCCTCTCTAAGTTCTACCCAAGTCTCTCAGGAGTCCAGTTATAAACCCAAGCAATAGCAATCCCCTGGTCGAGCAAGGTCACCAGGCTTGAATTCTATGAGGTCATAAAGGTAGGTAAAATTTTTCCTCAGGCAGTGACCACCAGCCTTTCTTTTATGTCCTAAAAATGGGAGTGGTAAAAGAGGAGGTCAACTGAGTGCTAATGACCGGTTAGTATATGGAAAAGGGGATCTTTGTGCTCAGTCTACATTCCTAGAAGTGGTTAGGTAAAAAGTTAGGGCTCTATTAGTAAGGTTGTATAGAAAGGATGGTCTCACCCTAAATTTCACAAGAAATAAAGCTATCTGTCTGACCTAAGAGACAGATGTTGTTTTGTATGGCCTTGGATGCTTGATAGGCATTTTAGATAAATACACTGGTAGGAGTTCTTGGAAACATGCAAAACAATCATTTTAGCAACCAGCTTGACCTTTGGAGAAGTCCTTGGCTTTTCCAAATAGTAGCTTTTGTGATAGTAGCTGAATTCCATTATGTTTTCCTGTGGCTTGCAGCAACTGGGCATATTAACTGTTGAGGAATTCCTACTCCCTGACCATGACTTTCTCCTGTGAGATATGTGTGTATGTGTGATGTATAGTAGCATATGGTACTAAATGCATGTTCTGTGGATACATTTATTTTTGCATTTCATCTGTCTTTAATGAATTATGTCCAACTGGTCTTACAGGAGCTCTTTCTTACCTTGTGTTTCCTAGAAGATAGGTGCAGTGTAAGATCATGTGACCACTTCAGACTTGTCTGAGGAATATTACTTTTGTAAGAAACATTTCCAGCTCTCTTTCATCCTGGGAAAAACCTACATTTTTGACCACTGACCCATGATGCCTGTGTTAGGGTTTGTATTGGTATGATGAAGACCATGATGAAAGACATCTTGGAGAAGAAAGGGTTTATTTTAGCCTACAACTGCAGGTTACAGTCCATCACTGAGGGAAGTCAACGCAGGATTCTGAGGCAAGAACTGGAGCAGAGGCCACAGAAGAACACTGCTTACTGACTTGTCCAGCCTGCTTTCCTATCTCATACAGAAAAGCATGCCTAGAGTGGGCACCACCCATAACGGGCTGTGCTATGTCATTTCATTCAGTAATTAGTAAAATGCCACCTAGGATTAGCTACAGGAAGTCTGAGGTAGGCATTGTCTCTATTATGTTTCTCTGTTATCAAATGACCCTAGCTAGTGTCAAGTTGACAGGAGAACTCTCTAGCCCAAATGCATCTTGGTATTTATATTCTTAGTGGTTTTAATTAATTAAAAGTGTGGTATCATTCATTGATATTTATTGCAGGAAATGCTGTCATTCTGGGATGTGGCTATTGATTTCTCTCCAGAAGAGAGGGAATGCCTGGAGCCTGCTCAGTGGAATTTGTACAGGGATGTGATGTTGGAGAATTACAGCAACCTTGTGTTCCTTGGTAAGTATATTATCTATAACAAATTCTTATTTCACCATCAACATGTAGCTTCCTCACTTTGTACGGTATCTCGTGGGAGCATTTCAACAGCCATTTTCATATCCTCCGTTTTCAGAAAAATTAGGGAGACTGCTATATTAAAAATAATTTTGGGGCTGGTGAGATTGCTCAGTTGTTAAGTGCACTGAATGCTTCTCTAGAGGACCCCGATTCATTTCCCAGCACCCATATGCAGCTCACAACTGTCTGTGATCCTACGACCTGTCGCCCTCATGCTGTGTGATATTTTTTTTGTGTTCTGACAAATACAGCTTGCTTTAGTCAGAGGGCAGAGCTAGCCGCTGTCTGACCATAGAGGTTTGGAGGACTGTAGAGAGGGACAGGAAGTGGTAAGGCGGGGCTGAGACAGGATCTCAGCCCTTTCGGATGGAGGAATGGAAGAGACAGCAAGTCAGTGGTGGCTGCTCCCAGGCTTCTCTGACCTTTCAGGTTCTTTCCCTGATATCTGACTCTCAATTTTTTATTGATAAAGTTAATTAGATTAAAGCTTCATCCTCACACAGACATACATGCAGGCAAAACACCAATGCGTCTGATAAAGAAAAATAAATTGTGAAAAAAAAAAGAATCATTTCACTGTTGTTCTCTTTTTGTGTTTAACTTTTCTATGTTGGATGTATATGTCCTTCATTCTAGTGGGACTGTTAGAAATTCAGTGCCATGAAACTTGGAGTACACTTATTAGTTAAAGTGTTTTATAATTCAGTTTTAATGTTATTTCTTTAAATGAAACTCATAATCTGAATGTTGTAATTTCCTTTATGTAGTGTAGTGATCCTATCAGAAAACGTTCAAGGAACTGATTGTCTGCAATCATTTATTACATCATCTCTTTCCTTATAAGCCATGTACTGGAAGTGACATGTCAATTCCAAGTAAGAGAACACATAAGCAATCTTCTCCCCTTTTCCTACAAACAGGTCTTGCTATGTCTAAGCCATACCTAGTGACATTTTTGGAGCAAAGACAAGAGCCTTCATATGTGAAGAGACAAGAAGCAGCCAATGTGCATCCAGGTCTGTAGGAATGAGGGGTTTGGGAGCAGAATTGAGGTCCAAATATTTAACAGAAAGGCAGGCTTTCCCATGTGTCTTGAAACATGATACTATGGTAATCATTCTTTGGGTTTCTCCTTCATGTCTTTCTTATCAAAGCACATCATTCGTTTATGATGGTTAAGTCTCTTAAGCTTTGTATTTCCCCATCAGACAGCTGTGTTTGTATTTACAGTGTCTTCCAGGGTTTTTGTTGTTGTTGAGTCTGTATTATAGTGTAAGTCTCAGGCAATAAGAACTGACACTGAGAGTGATTTTTTTTTCCAGAGGTGAGAGTAGACTCATGCCAAAATGATCTCTATACCAAAGTGAGCATGATAGGATTTATTAAGCCAAACACACAATTCCATCACTGAGAGGCAGGCAGAGACAGAAACAGCAACACTTTCAGTTCTACTGATTAGAACTATTTTGGGGAGGGGAGCAGTTAGATAAAACTCATACAAACCAGAGACACTTTGGACAGTTCATTCAGCACTGTTCTTACTTATTGTACAAGGGGTTGTATGGGGCCATTATGTGCACTGATTTACCGAGGATGTTTGGTATTTTCAACCCATTTACCACCAGTCCGTTCAGCAGGGCCTGACCATTAGACAGGATGAGCTACAAGGCCTTAAACTGTTGACTCAAGCATGCCCATCAAACTAGTTTGTATACATTGATTTTGTGCCTTACTTTTATGGCAATTACTAGATTTAGATTTCAGTGTGTTGTAAGGCTCCTTGGTTTTTGGGTTTGTTTTCTATTCTTTTTTCAGATAAACATATTTATCATATATTAGGTCTAACTGTTATCTTTTTAGAGAAATTAGAAACATTTACATATAAACCTGGTAATCCCAGATACATAAGAACTAGTAAAATGTTTTGTTTCACATCCAGTCAGGATAGCCACTGTGGCTAGCCCTACGGGAAGCATTATGGTTAACATTACCATAAGTCCAATGAGCTCTTGGGTTCTCTTCTTCTCAAGGTCTCTTGCTGATTCTCAAACTTCTTCTAAGTGTATATTTTCATTGGCTTCCAGATTTGTAATAGGATCCGGACTGTGGAGTGTAGACGATATTTTTTAATGGACCATGATCAGCTGTGTCCCTCCAACCACTCTCAAATAACCACTCAGACACTTATCATTAATTATAAATGTTCAGCCAATGGCTCAGGCTTATTAGTAACTAGCTCTTATATTTTTTTTTTTTTTTTGGTTTTTCGAGACAGGGTTTCTCTGTGTAGCTTTGCGCCTTTCCTGGAGCTCACTTGGTAGCCCAGGCTGGCCTCGAACTCACAGAGATCCGCCTGGCTCTGCCTCCCGAGTGCTGGGATTAAAGGCGTGCGCCACCAACGCCCGGCTGCTCTTATATTTTTTATTAACCCATATTTTGTATTTACACTCTGCCATGTGATGGTACTTTTATTCGCCATATGGCATGTTTATTTCCTTCTCCTCTGCCCTTACTCTTCCCAGCATTCTCTCTGCCCCAAAAATTCTTACTAGCCATGGGTCAGTCAGCTTTTTATTAACAATAAAAACAACACATTCTCACAGTATGCAGAAAGATTATTCCACATTATTTCTTCCTTTTTGTCTAATTGAAAAGGGATGTTTTAATTTCACAAAATAAAACTAAGTATAACAAAAATGTTTATGTGAAGCAGGATATTCTGAAAGGCTGTCCTACCATTTCTTGGGAAAGTTAGGCAGTTCTTTTTTTGTGTGTGTCCTGCTTGTCCCTTTTGGGCAGCATACACTCAGCAGTTGAGGCAAGGTCACTTTCTTTCCCAGTGTCTAACTTTTCCCACAAGGAAAGGAAACTCCATATAGAGTTTTCCCAATGCCCACCATCTCCTCTGAAGTAGATTGGTCATGCCAGGACCACAAATGTCTCATTGTTATTAAAAAAAGGCAGAGCTCTGTGAGTTCGAGGCCAGCCTGGACTACAGAGTGAGACCTATCTCCAAAAATTTAAAAAAAAAAAAAAAAAAAAGAAAGAATTTATGTTATTAAAACATCTTAAATGCCAATTCTGTAGATGTATGAAATGTTTGAAGATGACCTGTCTTATCTAAAATATCTCTCTTTGACCTTGAAAACATACCTAACTTTATATTTTTGGTTGTGAGCCTAGCCTTTAACGGCTGAGCCATCTCTCCAGCCCCATACCTAACTTAATATAAGTTTGATTATAATTGGTGACTAATTAATAACTTTGCATTTCTTCATTATCCTAAATAGTTTATAATAATAACTTTCAAGGACTAATAATTTGCCTTATATTGTGAAATGAGTTGCATAAGTACAATGCCTTGAATGAGAGTAGAATTGTATGTACAGTATGTTCTAATAAAAATAACTCAGATTTATATCAATATATAAAAACTCAAACCAACGTAAAGTTTTTATAACTAGTAGTTGTTCTTTTTTTGTTGAAAAGCAGATTTAACAATCTTTTTATCCTATCATGTCTATACCCCCTCTTTCTTTTCAGAGTAGATTCATTAATCTATACTTTTATGCTATCATTTCCATATTTCCTTTTTTTTCTGTTCAAAACAAGATCCTTGAATTGAATCTCCTTTGTTCAGTTCTTTTCCTAATCATTACCAATAACAACTTGTAAACAACCACCCTAAATGATATCCATAATCCATTGAATGACCAAAAATGACACACATCACCTCTTGGGAATATGGTTTTTAAATTTACTTCCTGCTGTCGGTGGGCAATGGAATCTTTAGGGTACCCTATTTAGGGTATCCTAAATCCTGTTTTGTATCCTAAATAATTAATAGAATGTTGCCTTTGAATTTTTTCAGGAGCAATTTGTAACCCCAAAAAAGGCACAATTTTCTTTCATTCCTCAAACAATCTAAAGTATCTATATTTGAGTCAGCCAGTAAAATGTAATTCACATAATGGAAACCTATAGATTGATGAAGTTGCTTATGTATCATTTCCAATGGCTGTTATACAAAATGTTGGCACAGAGTGGGGCAATTTAACAGTCGATATGGGAAAAGCTTTCATTGATATCTCTTAACAGGCTGAAAATTATTATAAATGGAAAACAGGAAGGAAAATTTTTTCTCTGTGCTTTTTTTTTAAAGGTATAGTGAAGAAACAGTCTTTTAAATCAATAAGTATAAGAGGTCCTACTTTGGGTAATAGAGAAGACAAAGAAATTCCAGGCTGTAGAGAGCCAGTTGGCTGAATCACCTTATTTATAGCTCTTATATCTGTTACTTCCCCATTTTTCTTATTTATTTATTTCTGATTTTTTTTTTTTTTTTGAGACAGAGTTTCTTTGTGTAGCTTTTGGAGTTTGTCCTGGAGCTCACTCTGTAGACCAGGCTGGCCTTAAACTCTATAGATTTATTTTTAATAACAGACATAAGAGAATTCCAATTCCAATTCTTGCCTGGTTGATTCTTCAGTATGCTGATCACTTAGTTGCTTCTATACCAGTTGTTCTAAGGCCTGTAATTTCTCTGATGTTAAAGGCCATTGCTCAATCCATACAGGTTTGCTGATTATCCATCTTAAAGGTAGGGCTTTGAAAGATCAGAAGATGTTGTGCCCTGTTCTTGAACAACCTCAATGGTCAGTGACTGTTCTTTATAATAACCTTTTATATTATTTACAGAAATATATGATAGTTTTGGTTTGTTTTTGAGATTTGAGGGATGTTAATCTGAATATATCATTGATGTCACAAATCACATCCCCATAAATTCATTGCTATGCTAGTCACATATGGCTTTTATATTCTTCTCTGTCTTTCTGTCCTTACACATTTGACCCATCTTGCACTCTGTTTTACTTGAGATAATGATCTGTTTCCTAAAAGCTGAACATGTATCTCCTGAATAGGCTAATTTGGATGCCAAAATTCTGGTGCAATTATTATTACATCTGCACCTGTGTCTACAAGACCTTCAATGACAATGCCATTTATTCACATTTTTAACTTTGGCCCCTGTTCACTTATACAAGTTTGCCAAAATATTTACTCTACTGTTTCTCTGGAATTTTTTGTTTTATCTTTTAAAGGTATTATATCATCCAGAGCAGTATGTTTTTTTTTTGTTGTTGTTGTTGTTTTGTTTTGTTTTGTTTTGTTTACAATAGGCATTAAGTTCTTCAATTGCTGTAGTAATGTGTTCCCCCATGGTCACAGGAAATGACTGAACCAAATTTGGTACAGGGGCAAATGACTCTTGATGTCAAAGAGTTATTTTGTCTGTTCCTTGTTGATCTACATTCTTTAGTTGAATGCTGACCTTTGCCACACCTTGTGCATACTCCAGAAGGGAGGGGCATTCTGTTTGGATTATTCTTAGCAATGTTGTGAGCACAATCCTTTGTTAGGTGACCTTGTTTACCACAATTGAAACACGTAACATTTTGATGTTTCTTCAAACTTCTGGAAACTACCTCTCCTATCCAAGCATCATCATAGTTATGAGATTCAGTATTGACTGTATCTCAAATCCATTCCTCTGTGGGTGCTGATCTTGCCTTTAGTGGCCTAATTACCCTTCTGTATTGTGAATTAACATTTTCAAAAAATAGAGATTCAATTATTATTAGTCTGGCTTCTCAATCATTGGTATCATTCTTTTCATTGCTGAAGTCAATGTTTGTTAAAAAAAATCATTGAAGGTTTCTTTTGGGCCCCGTATAACTATAGTAAACAAGTCAATTTTCTTTCCTACTTCTTCAATTCTGTCCTAAGCATTCAAGGGTGCTGTGTGAGTGCAAAGCCACCCTGAATGAATCACATGAGATTGACTGAGTCTAGGAGAGAAACAGAGACAGGCATTGGTCGCATACACCTTTAATCTGTTTCTCGGGAGTCACAGGCCTTTAATCCCAGCATTAAGAAGGAAAGATATGGCTGGGTGGAGAAAGTTGTAAAAGTCTTAAAGAGACAGGAACTAAAACTTTTTTGGCTGAGGCCTTTTCACTGAAGCTTTTCGGCTGGAGAGCTTTTGGCTGAGGCCTCAGAGACATTCAGTCACAGGATTCATGGAGTTGTTGAGGTGAGACGTGGTAGTGGCTTGTTCCTTTGTCTCTCTCATCTTTCAGCATTTACCCCAATATCAGGCTCCGGGTTTTTTATTATAATACCATTTAAGAATTTGAACAACACTTACCAATTTTTCTCTTCGCCCCTGCCTTATTACTTCTTGTTTCCTTGCAAGTGCTGGAATTAAAGGTGTGTGTCACCACTGTCTGGCTTTTATGGTTAACTAGTGGCTAGTTTTCCCTTCTGATCTCCAGGCAAGCTTTATTTGTTAGAGCACAAACAAGCTACCACCACAAAGGGTAGTTTCATTGCCCTAAGGGCTGGCTTTTGCCATAAAGAAAACAAGCTCCATAAAGAGTTTCTTCAATGCCTATCATTTTCTTTGAAGTAAATTGGTGCTACCAGGAGCAGATATGTTTTTCTGTATTTTTAATTACACATTACATTTTTAAATGAGCTGTATCAACACAATATACAAAATGAGTAGAAATATACATACAGTATTAAAAATTAACTTTAAATTTGATTCAATAAACTAAAATGCATACCAATGTAAAATACTTTGAGATTAATGGTTGTCTTTTGGCTTAAAGTAGATTCAATAATCTACCCTTTTATCCCATCATTTATATATCATATCCCCCTTTTTCCTTTAGAAAGAGATCTTTGAATTTAATTCTTTTGTTCAGCCTTTAAAAGAAATGACCAATACATACTTGTAACCAATCCCCCTTAAATAATAATAAGCATCCATAACTCATATTTTGGGAATGTGGGTGTTGTTTTGTGGACTACTTCCTCTTTTCTGTGGGCATTGCTGTTTTGGGGGAAACCTTGAGAACACCAGGATAATTGTTGGGTCTTGTCTGGAGTAGTCTGTGATATTTAAACTAGAATGTATTTTGCATACCAGTTGGGTGGGAGGCATAGGTATAAGAATCCCCTCGGTATCCTCACCTATCAGAAGTAGATAGATCTCTTAAGTTTTAGGCCAGCCTAGTCTAGATAGTGAGTTCTAGGACAGGAAGGTCTACACAGAAAAGCCTTATCTTGAAAAAGCAAAAATAAACAAACAAGGAAATCAGTAACATTGTCATCTATTCACTGATAAAAATCTTGTCTCTGGTAAAATTTGTGTAATGTACAGATGAGCCTGAAGTTTTTTTTTAAATCAGGACTTGATATGTTTCAGGTTTATATTTTTTTGTCAATGAAATAAAACATAAAATACTGTCCTGAATTTATGAGCTATAAATGCAATATTTTCGTGAACCATCTACTTCTTGTACAGCATATCTTTTATTTCTTCTAAAATAAAACTCCATGTGGAGAAAAATGTTGTATTTAGATGATACAAATTCACACAGTCACAATTAACTTTCTCCTTTCCTGGCTTGGTTCATTTATAATTTCATGGGTTTCCATTCCAGCCATGGAACATCACTACTGTTTAGTAGTTTTATTTCTGTTACTAAAATTTCCTTACACTTTACTTAGCTATTAAACTTTGAATAATATGCCATTATATCTATGTTTTATTTGGTTTTGCCCTTATTCTAGTAGAAGTATAGATTATTTCTACCTCCAATATTTTATCATTTATGCTTAGTGACTATAGGTTTTGAAATGTACTGTAGTTTCTCACTGATGTTTCAATATATATAAGTAAATGGTTTCTTTAAAAAGACGAACATTAAATATGAAGAATATTTCCTAGCCTCTGATGATATCTCAACTTTTGCTCAACAGGAATAACCACCAATGATTATAACATTTACAAGACCATTGATTTTAACTCACTGTATATTCAACGCCAGAGAATTCATAAAAGGGAGAAACTCTACAAGTGTGAAGAATGTGGTAAAGGCCTTAGTTCTCATAAAACACTCTCCATACACAAGAGACTTCATACTGGAGAAAAATCCTACATGTGTATAGAATGTCATAAGACCTTTAATACTCGTGAATCACTTTTTATACACCAGAAAAATCATACTGATGAAAAATCCTACAAGTGTGAGGAATGTGGCAAATTATTTTACTATCCTTCAATGCTGAAGCAACATCAAAGAATTCATTCTGGAGAGAAACCCTACAAGTGTGAAGAATGTGGCAAGTCCTTTTATACTCCTTCAGTGCTGAAACAACATCAACGAATTCATACTGGAGAGAAACCATACAAGTGTATAGAATGTGGCAAAGCTTTTTATGAATCATCAATCCTTCAGGTACATAAGCGAATTCATACTGCAGAGAAACCCTACCAGTGTGAAAAATGTGGCAAGTGTTTTTGTTCATCTTCATACCTTAGACAACATCAAATAATCCATTTTGAACAAAAACCCTACAAGTGTGAAGAGTGTGGCAAGTGTTTTTGTTCATCTTCATCCCTTAGACGACATCAAACAATCCATTCTGAAGATAGTGCGTACAAGTGTGAAGAGTGTGGCAAACGGTTTTCCTACTTTTCACATCTTCAAGCACATCAGAGAGTCCACACTGGAGAGAAACCATACAAGTGTGAGGAGTGTGGTAAATGTTTTTCCTCATGTTCATCTCTTAGAAAACATCAACCAATCCATTCTGAAGGGAATCACTACAAGTGTGAAGAGTGTGGTAAGTGCTTTTCCTTATCTTCATCTCTTAGACGACATCAAACAATTCACTGGGAAGACAATCCCTACAAGTGTGAAGTGTGTGGCAGACGTTTTTGCTCATCTTCATCCCTTAGAGGACATCAAACAATCCATTCTGAAGACAATCCTTATATGTGTATACACTGTGGCAAACGGTTTTCCTGTTCTAGGCGTCTTCAAGAACATCAAACAGTTCATACTGGAGAGAAACTATACAAGTGTGAAGTATGTCACAAAGCCTTTTGTTATCGATCAGGCCTTAGGAGACACAAGAGAGTTCATACTGGAGACAAACCCTAAAAGTGTGAAGAGTGTGATGATGCTTTTCCTTATTTTTAACTTTTAGACGACATTAAAAAAAATTCATTCTGAAGACAATCCCTAAAAGTATGGGGAATGTGCCAAAGACTTTGCTAATTTTTATATCCTTACTCAACACATGATATAGTTCATACAGGAGAGAAATCCTTCAAGTTTTTTTAGGAAGTTTACTTCTTCAATCCTTAAAACACATCAAATAATTCATTCTGACTACAAATTCTATGAATGTGTGAAGTGTGGGCAAAGTCTTTGCTGATAATTCAGGTTTTATCCACATCTAATGAATCCATAGTGGAGAATATTAAGTTAATTATGTTGGAATGTCCACACGAACACCTAACTTCCAAGAGCACGAATGCTAAGAATTAATGCGAGCCACAGGAATATGAAAATAGAAGTCTAGCTGTATATAATAAGTTGTACCTTGACGAAGCCAAGGGTCAGTCAAGTGGGAAAGCCAGTCAGCAAGGTCTATTGGTGTTATGTGGCTTAATACTCAATTGTGTCTTGCTATGAATTCTTTGTGCTCATAATTCTCCTAAAGTGTGTGTGTGTGTGTGTGTCTCCTTTTCAAAGCACCTGAATAGTCAAGTAGACAGAACCTTCTGCCTCTGAGTGCCAGGCCCCCTCTTTTGTTTTGGGTATCTGCCATTTGCAAATACCCTCCTTGAGCTACTTCCTAAGATAAAGTCAACCCCAAACAAAGTCTTAAAAGACAAGCAAGCAACAGACAGTTACCAGGTCATCTGTTAGCTGTCAGTACTCTTCTCCCCACCTCAGCCCATCAGGAAACTGGTGACAGAGGAAAAAGATGACAGTTTTAACTTTTAGTGACCTACAGACTTTGCCTACCCTATTACCTGTAAGTCTATAGTTGATAGATTTATAATGCCTTCGCCTTACCACAATAAGGATATATTTCTAGCACTTAAATTCCTTTTCTGATTTATCCCAACTGCTAACTGACTCCACTCTTGTCTCTCCCCTTTTGGGTTGCAAATAAAATTGCCAGGAATCCTCTATTGGGGACCCCATACAATCTTATGCTGTATACAAAATATAAGGTGTTACTGTCTAGGATCAGATATAGACCAGTCCTGGGGGAAGGGGAGGAAGGAAGGAAGGACAGACTGAAGGATGGAGAACTAGGAATGGAGGGAATGAAGAATTGAGGGAACTAGGAAGTGAAGATTGAAGGGTTGAGGAATTGAGGAACTGAAGATTAGAGGGAATTAAGAATTGAGGGAACAAGAAGGGAACTAAGGAAATAGAGATCTGAGAGAGTTGAACTGGTGACTGCATGATGGTAACTGAGGAATAAATGAATTGAACTAAAGAGCTCCAAGCAACTGGATTTATTCCCACGCCATTGGAAGTGTCTTTCCTGGGCCCCTGGATTTGTATAAATTTAAGGCTGGACCTTGAATATTATAGAACAAAGAATGTCATTAGAGAAGAGACTTCTCTTTGTTGTAACCCCCAACAGTTGGATCAAGCGATATGTTTGATTAATGAGTCCCTTTCTTCTGCAACTATAAGTATTCCATGAAACCTTTACCATGTCATAACTTTGTCCATTGAGTGCCTGGAATCTGAGATTTGGGCTGTGTCATAGTTACTGTTGTTTTTCCCAGTGGAGTCATCCAAGCTCCTGTAATATCTCCCCTTGGTGTGTAAGAATCTCTGTCTCTCTAGCAGTATCTAGCTCCTGAATCCTTATTGGTAAAATAAAAGGATAGAGAGTTAGTTAAAACTACAGGAAGACTCTTCCAGTCTTAGGCCTCAGCATCAAGGCAGCAGCTGCAGAGACACAGTCATCAGCTGAGGCAGAGATGTCATCAGGTGCAGCTGCTGTGCCTCATATAAAAAACAACAGTGCCCATAGAGCAATAATAATGGGGAAGTTATGAGAGGAACCAATTATTTTCTGATTGGATTTAAAGCTTATCCACAAACAGTTACTGGTGTGATGTTAATTTGGTGATATACTTTTGCTTGGCTAGGTGATAAGCCCTAGGGAGAATTTAATGCTGTTATTCTAATAAGTGGATACTAACTAAATGAACCCAAGTTATCTTTACACGTACAGAGTCAATCACCTTTCAACACCCACCAGACAATATTATATGGTGTGATAGATGAAGTGTGGGAGCCCAAAACGCACTCAGTTTCCCAGTTTTAATCTGAAGTCTATTCTTAGTCAATAGAGTTCAAGCTTGCTTGCTCCAGGGTTGTGAGAATGTCCTGATTAGCCCACAGGAAGGCACTCACTATCTAGCTAGACACAGGCTGCTGATGCCAGCCGGAGGTACATCGAGATAGAAAATGAAACTGCCTGCTCCTTGACACAAGGCAGGACAGATAGTGGTTGAATGCCTGTGCTGTGCATTGTTCTACCTCTGTCCTTCAAGACTGTGTATAAGCTGGCTGTGAAATAAACAAGGGACTGTCGGGCATTGACTGGCAATCTTCTCGACTCTTTTCTGTCGTCTTCATTGTCTCTACAGTTTGCATGCCCTCACCCAGATACCCAGCTGATTGTCAGCAGGATCCAAACATAAAGAATAAAAGGAGATGCAAATTGGTCAAAGTGTAGAGAATATCAGCCTGTTCAGGGCCCTGATCTAAAAGTGACAGCTGTGTCACACATTGGCTTCACATACATCTAAAGCCAAAAGTCATTGGTTCCTAAGGGAAAAGCAGCAGAAAGAATGTCAGAGCCTGATATGGTCGATATCTGCAGGGAGACAGTAGAAATGAGAAACATTTTAGAACCCTGAAACATTGATAGGAATGTCAGCACCATTTCATGCGTGAACACACTGGGGCTTTTATTACATGGACGACACTTCCACAGGCTAAACCCCAACATACAATAAGCATGGTTGCAAAAGGGCCTCACTATGTCTCTCACCTTGTGGAGAAGATACTGGCAATTGATGGCTCCTGAGGGAGACAGTCAATCTGAGAGGCTTCTGGGTTGAAGTCAGTTGTCCCCTACACCTGGAGGGAGCACTAAGTGGAATGAAGAAATAACAAAAGGCCCACGAAGGTGGAAGAGCAATGTTCTTTTCTAAGGGTAAGAAGCAATAGGTGAAGGAATGTGGAGATTTGAATAAAACATTCAATATACATGTATTAAATTCTCCCAAACTAATATAATTTTAAACCTTGTTGGTTTTGGATATGTCCAAACTGACCTGTTTTAACAATGATTACAGCACAGGAATCTGGCTGTCATAAAGTTTACAGAGGGTCAGCTTCCTACTGGGAAGGCATCATGAGGGATCAAGTGAGTGGACTCCCAGAAAGGCCCAGATGCTGAGGACTAAGGAGCCCTGCACCACTGTAACCTCAGGAGGAGACAGGGATGGCTTTGGAGCGATGAAATTCACCCAGACTTACCTTTTTTTTTTTTCCCCAAAAGCAAGTTTTTAATTATGAAAAAGCAATGTGATATAGAAACTGACACACTGGTATCTTTCTAATAAAATGACACAGTAGATTTCCTAAATAATTTACAAAGAGGAGAAACTGGTCTTGAACAGTGTTCCCCTCCTTGCACACCCCAGTTGCCCACACTGAGCTGATAAGTAGACCCCAAGAGCTCAGGCTTGCAGTCTACAAATATCTCCTCTCTTTCTATGGGACCCTGTGGGATCAGGGGTAAAAGTGGTCCCCAAGAATCTCTGCACTGGGAATAAAGGGGGTGGTTTCATGGGATGACTCCTGCAGGGCCTTGATCCGAGTTACAAGGTTCAGAAATGTCTAGCATCTTCAGGTACATTCCTAATATGTGTGGGCCTCTGTGAGGCTGGAGAACAGGGTACTGTATGAGTTCTGGAGAGCATGGGCAGTTCCCATCACCTCTTCAAGGTCTTCCTAAATCACTCTTGGGCTGTGGCCAGTGGTTATCAGTGGGACCAGATATGGCTGAAATAGAAAGCTTCTGGATCCCCTGTTAGACATGTCCTTGTTAGCAGTGGCCTGGGGATGCTGATGAGCCCAGTGCCTCCCCTGGAAGTTCATGGGGTGGGTGGCACGGACATCCTGATGGCTTGGTGGCTGGACACAGCCTGTTTCCTGTAGGATGCCTGCTGTCCTCATTCATGAATAAGGGAGACAGTCATGTCACCACTCTCTTCAGCCTTGATGGCTTTGTCCAGTTTTTGTGACAGCTTCTGGAGATGCTGGATTCCAGCCCCCATAGGCTCTAGGTCACTGTCAGACTCACTGGGAGAGCAGAAAGGTTCTGTGGAGGAACAGGGGCTCTGGAGGGCAGCCTCCCTCGTTAGCTGCTGATGTCGATGGGCATGTAGACCCATCTGGCCAGAGAGGCGTGGATGTCCTCCGACTCTGGCATCCCGGTTGGCCCTGTATAGCCAAGTGTTCTGGTTTAGACTGGGTGGTGAGGACCCTCTGTCCTTCTGGACTCCTCGTTTTTTCCTCACTTTCACCTGTGTTCCCATCAGCCAACTGGTGCCACTTTGGCAGGACTCCTGGATTCTCTGGGACATAGCACCCAAGGTGCTTTTGGCTGAGCGAGCTGAAGCCTGAAGATGCTGCTGCTCTGGCTCTGGGGTTTCCAGGCATTTCCAGGAGGGGCCAGTCCCGAGGTTGAGGTTGATGACTCTCAGTGGCAGCCTCCTTCGGAACTGTCTGCACAGGGAGCCCAGGGGACCCGTCTCCAGATGGCCCTCAGCAGACTGGGTCACCGCCTTCTCTAGATGTTCCTCCTTTAGGAGTGATCATCTGCACATGGAGGCCGTCATGCCCTGCCATTGAGATGCCATGTGCTTGGTCCAGTTTCCTCTGCCAGCTAGATCCTCCCTGCCTGATACCCGAGACCTGAAGATTAACACACACTCTTTGCCCACCACAGCAGATTCCCAGTCTCACCTTTTAACTTCCACTTGATTTTGCCATGAGAACAGAGGAACGATGAACAGTGGCCTCCCCTGCTGTCCATATGTGCTATGAGGCTGGACTCTGTTAAAAGATGGAAGCAGAACATGACAGCACTACTGTGGATATCGCTCTGTATAAATAAAATGCTGATTGGCCAGTAGCCAGAAAATAAGTATAGGCGGGACAAGCAGAGAAGAGAATCCTGGGAACAGGAAAGCCGAGGCAGAGAGGCTGCCAGCTGCTGCCATGACAAGTAAGGTGTAAGGTATCGGTAAGCAACGAGCCACATGGCAACTTATAGATACAGGGTAATTTAAGATAAAAGAACTAGATAACAAGCCTGCCATACATTTTGTAAGCAATATATGTAGTGGGTAGCCATTCCAGCTTTAATCTGGAAGTTCCAACCGCCATTGAGGCTTCAGCAACTGCCATGCCTACAAGGCGGGGCCAAGGGAGGACCTCGGAGACCTGAGATGGGGTGAGCCAGCTTGCGCTCTGTTCCTGGACTCTTGATGTTGGAGGCTGACTGAGCAGAGCTCCAGAGAACACCACTGGGCTGCAAAACACCTTCCCCAGACCCTGCGACCTACCCATCCCTTCATTTGTAAGTAACTCACTAAATAAACCTTCCTTTTAACTACATGGAGTGGCCTTAATAATTTCACCAATAAATATAAGTCTCTGTGTGTTTACTCAGTTGGGTCTAAGTGGCTGCGGGACTGGCAGATGAGAGATTTGTCCTGACCTGGGCCAAGCAGGACCAGGAAAATTCACCCAATGGGTTAGCAAGAGTTTCCACCTAAAACCTGAGGAAAAAAAGATTCTAAAACGGAGCTAAAAACAGCTTCCTAGTTGTCTCTCTCAAGTTAGTGGCAGCCTGTGTGTTTGTGCTACTCTATGGCCGGTTTGTGGTGTGCAGGCTTGACCTATGCTATGTTACACAGAGTTATCTCCAAGCTGTGCACTATGCTGTGTGTTGGATGGTTTTTGCTAGTTTAAAAAAAAAGAGAGAGAGGTTTCTGGGCTACACCCTTGCTTTGATAGAACTGCTTCGGATAGTTGATGGTACACATGGCTCCAGACCCAGAGCTGGTGGTAAACTGTACCACTGCCATGTTGGAAAGCTGATGAGGGTGGAGCCAGCAGCCACGCTGATATTTCAGTCTTAGAAATGCTGCAATTTAAAGCAATAGTTACACAATAAGGCAGATTCCGATGGAACAAGACTTTAAATGCTTTACAATGCGTGTAAAAATGTATGTAGGCTCAGAAGAGAGAGAAAAAGGAATATATACAGTTATATAAAAAATAGATAGTTTTTAAAAATAAAGTCTTTAAAGAAACAGTAAAGGCAGTATAAAAAAATAAGCCATCTTAAATACAGGCTTACAGCACAATGGGAGAACCCCAGAGGGCAGACGTTCACTACTCTGTTTTACAATCTTGTATCTAAGTTGTTAACGCCCATTATGCAGGATACACAGACAAGGATCTTCACTTAAGCATTCAGGAGGGTGGAAACCGGCAGATAATTAGCATATGGAGGATATTAAAGTCAAGGTCAGCAAGCAAGGCAACAGTTACCCAAAACGCTGATCAAGACCCTACAGGTCCCCCTTTTACTAGAAAATAAGATTCTGACTTAGGTTGCCTGGGACATCAGGAGGTCACCTTACCCATCATGGAGATGCCTGCCCAGGCCACACAGGTGCTCTGCCTTAGGTTGACAAGCGACCCCAGGCATTATCCATCTCTGAATACTCTTTATCATACAGGCTCAATCGTGTGTGAGCTGCAGAGTTAACTGCTGCCAAAGATCTCAAAGTAGTGCCAGGCTTGCAATCTGTGTGTTCGACACAGAAAAGACCAACAGAAGTTCTAACCCACCCATAGCCAGTAGGCTAAAGGCAACTGAGCCATTCCCTTCCTTAACGAGCCTTACTGCAAATGGAGTCCTTGTAAGATGGTATTCCAAAAGCAAATGGAACTTGAGTTCATAAATTTATAACTTTCAAAGCCAATCAAAATGTATATACTATTGAATTAAATTTATCATGCCCAATAGAATGAAAGACTAACTGTGGTAGCTACTTTTGCTGCCAGGGTCTCCACTATGCTAGCTGTAGTAAGCAATTATGAAATGGTTATCCCAGAAACAGTAGCAGTGGAGGCTGCCACTGCTATAACAGCAACAATGGCAGCAGCAATGTCAAATTCTCTTCTGGTGCATGTATCTTATGGGGACACAAAGAAAATTTTAGGATTATGGAGTAATCTTTAAAGACTGTCTTTTAGCACTAAGAAGGTAAAACTTTTTTTGGGGGGGGGCAGAAAATGGTTGTTTCAGGACAGGGTTTCACCGTGTTAAAAAGAAAAAAAAAGAATCTAAGCACAAAACCTGACATGTTATAAAGGCTCAAGTATAAACTATTATTCTCACTATTAGCAGGATTTTTTTTTATTTTGTGTGCATTGGCGTTTTGCCAGCATGTATGTCTGTGTGAGGGTGTCAGATCTTGGAGTTACAGACAGTTGCAAGCTGTTTCAGT